TGCGGTTCTCGGTAGAAACTGATGAAACGCGCTCGCCCTTGGCGCAGCCTAAGGAGAGTGTATGAATATTTCAGCGTCTCGCAGGCAGCCCCGTAAAGCGATCGCTGTGTTATTAAGAGGGGAGCAAGAGGAGGAGGGTTAAGTTTGCCGCTGCGGTTTTTGTTTTGGTTTGGTTTATTCGGATGCTGATGCAAGGAGACTTGACGCATTCCGGCACTGGCTCCGGCTCCTCAACCAGCGCGTCGCACTCGCAGCAGGTAAGGAAAAGCCCCTTTTGCCCCCAGGTTGTTGGGCTGTACTCGTACAGTTTGGGTCTAGGGTATCAATCTCCATCCCGTTCTCTTTCTCTCTCAGTCGTGTTTAGCTGCTGCAAAGCGAGAGAGCAGATGCTTTGCTCCCCTATCCCTAATCCCTCCCCAGTCCGTGCTCAGCTAAGTCTCCACCGTCTGTGAAGTGGGGAGAATGGTGGTCAGGAGACTTAGGGCAGTAATTGGCCCCGCTGAAGCTGCCTGGGAAGTCCTGATGCACTCAGGGCACCGCAGGGTCCTCACTGGCCCCTTCCTGCCTGGAAGGCCCCGCATGTGTGGGGACACGTAGGGCTCTGCCTGCACTGCCGTAGTGGGCAGAGTGGGATGTTCTTGCTGAGGTGAAAGCCAATCCATCGCGCCTGAGTGTGTGTGTGTGTGGCGAGGCTTGGGGGCTGGTTTCTTGTGTTTCTCTCCTCCCTGGCAGGCTCCATCCTGAAAGTGAGCTTTGTGGCTTCCAAAGCAGAGTATCTCCAGCCTTCCCCACCCAGCACGCAAGAGGACAGGACTGGGATGGGGGAGATGGGAGTGGGGACAGGTGATGGAAATTTGCTGAGTTGGCATCGCAAGGACTTGCCTCCCAGCCACCCTGTGATCGATTGATTGATTTATTTATCTGTGTGTATGTGTGGGTGTGTGTGGTAACTTCGTGCCAGCAGCCGTGGTGATGGTCGAGCCGGCGAGAAAAGTGGACGGATCAAGTTAAAGGCAAAAGGAGGCAGCTGGGGAGGGGACCCCAGCCTGGGGCTGTGCTTCATTGACCTTCAGCCTCCTCCCGGCTTGGGGGACAGGACCCCTCACCTTACCTGCCCTCTTCCCTCCCCTAAAGGTACTTCTTCCCTCTTTCTTTATCCTCCCATCAACCCTGATGCCTCTCCCTCCATCCCATCTCTCCTTCCCCCTTTTGGATATTTCCATCCCTTAGGCTCCTTAGCCATCCCTTCCTCAGGCTCTCCATCCCACCCCATCATCCCTCCCTGCAGACTCTGAGCCTCCCTTCCCTTCCCTTTCTCCCCCCCTCCACCGAACTGCCCTGGGACTCTCTGCTCTAGTCCCCCCTCTGAAGTCCCTCTCCCTCACTTCTCCCCTGCCCCTGGACCCTCTTTCCTGTGTGCCACCATGACCGTGATGGCTGGAGAGAACATGGACGAGACTTCTGTGCTGCCTGGCCACCCCCAGGATAGCTACCAGCCTGCTGCCCACGATGACCATGAGTGCTGTGAGCGTGTAGTGATAAACATTGCCGGACTACGCTTTGAGACGCAGCTGAAGACCTTAGCCCAGTTCCCCAACACGCTGCTGGGCAACCCCAAGAAGCGCATGCGGTACTTCGACCCGCTCCGCAACGAGTACTTCTTCGACCGGAACCGGCCCAGCTTCGACGCCATCCTCTACTACTACCAGTCCGGGGGGAGGCTCCGCCGGCCGGTCAATGTGCCC